ATATTCAAGGAGAGGCTCGACGAGGCCCTGGGCAACCTGGTCTAGTTGGGGGTGTCCCTGCTGACTGCGGGGAGGTGGGACTAGATGACTTTTGGAGGTCCCTTCTGGCCTGGACAACTCTATGACTCTATAATGAACATGTGGGGGATGGTTTAAAATTTACTTAGTAGCATTTGTAGGGAGATACCTACAAATTGAGAGGACGGTTGCTTTGAGCACCCAATTACTCTCAGGACAAAGTTGTTTGGGGCTGTATTCTCCCTCCCTGAGTTTGCTGAAGGAATTGTGCAAATTCTCCCCTAAAATCCCTCTGTGTATCAGCTGCAGACTGAAAAAATTAAAGAGGCTGCACCGGCCAAGTCCTGCTGCTTCGTGGCTTGGAGGGGATCACTCCTGCTGCTGCATCCCAAAGCTCTCTGCTCTGTGGGTTTAAATGAAGCAGAAGAGCTCCACTGCCCTCTTAATTTTCCCTGGGAGGTCTGGGATTCTTTTCTCATCTCCTTTTGCAGCCCTCATCCCTTCCAGTTTGGTCCTTAAATGTTTCAGATCCCTGCAGTGATCTGCTGTTGGAATTTAGCCCGGTGCCTTCAGCAGGTGGAGGGTATCAGCAGGTTAGTGGGTAGTTCTGCTGCTGGTCTTTAGGGACAAGGAAAAATGGGAAAAAGGTGAGTTAAGGGCAAATAGTAGCATGGAAAATATGCTGCAGCATGGTTCAGGTTGGAAGGGACAGTAAAGACCATCCAGTTCCAACCCCCTGCCCAGCAGTTGGACATTGTCAAGGGTGGAAATTTTCATGCTTTAAGGGTTTTGGATGCATCATGCGCTTTCACGGAATCACAGAATGGTTCAGGTTGGAAAGAACCTTAAAGATCATCCAGTTCCAACCCCCCTGCCCTCGGCAGGGACACCTCCCACCAGACCAGGTTGCTCCAAGCCCCCTCCAACCTGCCCTTGAACCCCTCCAGGGATGGGGCAGCAGCAGCTTCTCAGGGCAACCTGGGCCAGGCTCTCACCACCCTCACACCAAAGAAGTTCTTCCCCACATCTCTCATCTCATCTCATCTCATCTCATCTCATCTCATCTCATCTCATCTCATCTCATCTCATCTCATATCTTCTCTCTCTCTGTTGCTGTTGCAGGAACCTTGTTGACCACCCCACAACACACCGCCATCGGAGCACATCCAGTTTCCGTGCCAACGTACAGGGCTCAAGGAACCCCCACCTACAGCTACGTACCTCCACACTGGTAATCCCACTGGCCAATTCATGTAAGTGCTGCCTTCGCGGGTCTTGCCCTTGCCCTTGGCCATTAATTAGCCACCCAGCACTGCCCCTGATCCTCTCCTTCCTCCAAAGCTGCTGAACCCCTTTATCTGGGTGATGCTTTGACTCCACATCTTGCTGCTCGGTGCATGCAAGGCTCTACCAGTGACCTCAGTGGCATCAAGTCACCCTGAGCGCAGTTGGACATTGTTGAGGGTGGAAATTTTCATGCTTTAAGGGCTTTGGATGCATCATGCGCTTTCACAGAATCACAGAATGGTTCAGGTTGGAAGGGACCTTAAAGACCATCTACTCCAACATCCCTTCCCTGGGCAGGGACACCTCCCACCAGACCAGGTTGCTCCAAGCCCCCTCCAACCTGGCCTTGAACCCCTCCAGGGATGGGGCAGCAGCAGCTTCTCAGGGCAACCTGGGCCAGGCTCTCACCACCCTCACACCAAAGAAGTTCTTCCCCACATCTCTCATCTCATCTCATCTCATCTCATCTCATCTCATCTCATCTCATCTCATCTCATCTCATCTCATATCTCCCCTCTTTCATTTTAAAACTGTTCCTCCTCGTCCTGTCCCTAAAATCCCTGATAAGGAGTCCCTCCCCACCTTTCATGTCACTCAAATATGGGGTTTTATTCCTGCTAAAATGTCGCTGGGATATTGTCCTGCTCATTGGCACCAGGATTACGTGCCTGCACCCCTCCAGCAGGATCCTGTCCTGCTCAGGATCCCAGAAATCCCGGCTGTTGGGGGATGCTTAAATCCCAAATGCATTGACTATACGTCTGCATGGGGTGCAGAGGAGAGAGCAGCCCAGTCTGATCACAGCATCACAGAATGATCTGGGGTTGGAAGGGACCTCTGGAGATCATCCAGTCCAACCCCCTGCCAGAGCAGGGCCACCCAGAGCAGGTCCCACAGGAACGTGTCCAGGTGGGGTTGGAATGTCTCCAGAGAAGGAGACTCCACCACCTCTCTGGGCAGCCTCTGCCAGGGCTCTGCCACCCTCACAGTGAAGAAGTTCCTCCTCATGGTGAGATGGAACTTCTTATGTTCAAGTTTATGCCCATTTCCTCTTGTCCTGTCCCTGGGCACCACTGAGAAGAATCTGGCCCCATCCTCCTGACACCCACCCTTGAAGGATTTAGAGGTGTTGATCAGATCCCCCCTCAGCCTTCTCTTCTCCAGACTAAACAGACCCAAGTCCCTCAGCCTTTCTTCATAAGAGAGATGCTCCAGGCCCCTCAGAATCTTTGCTGTCCCCTCTCCAGCAGTTCCCTGTCCTTCTGGAACTGGGGAGCCCAGAACTGGTCCCAGTGCTCCAGCTGGGGCCTCCCCAGGACAGAGCAGAGGGGCAGGATGACCTCCCTCCACCTGCTGCTCACACTCTTCCTGATGCCCCCCAGGATGCCCTTGGCCTTCTTGGCCACCAGGGCCCATTGCTGCCTCATGGTCACCCTGTTGTCCACCAGGACTCCCAAGGTCTTGCTCCTCAGAGCTGCTCTCCAGCAGGTCCCCCCCAACCTCTCCTGGTCCATGGGGTTATTCCTCCCCAGGTGCAGCACCCTGCACCTGCACCGCTTTCTTCTAACTCCTTATTTTGAATATCTTTGCTCTTTTCCAGATCCGGAGTCAAACATTGTATGCAACTACACAAGTCTTACATCTGGGCTGCGGCCGCTGTACTGCAGCACCTCGTCTGTTTGCAAGAACAAAAGAAAAAAAAAAACAAAAAAAAAGAAGAGGCAGAAGATTAGAAAAAGCAGCTTTTACAAAAACCCCTAAAGAATGCATAAAGGGACCCTTGCACTTTTTTTTTTTGTTGTTTTTTTTTTGTTTTTCTTTTTTTTTTTTTTTCTTTTTTTTTTTTTTTCTTTTTTTTTTTTTTTCTTTTTTTTTTTTTTTCTTTTTTTTTTTTTTTCTTTTTTTTTTTTTTTCTTTTTTTTTTTTTTTCTTTTTTTTTTTTTTTCTTTTTTTTTTTTTTTCTTTTTTTTTTTTTTTCTTTTTTTTTTTTTTTGCAAAAAAAAAAAAAAACAACAAAAAAAAAAAGTGCAAGGGTCACTTTATGCATTCTTTAGTGGTTTTTGTAAAAGCTGCTTTTTCTAATCTTCTGCCTCTTCTTTTTTTTTGTTTTTCTTTTTTTTTTTTTTTTTTTCCTCTCCCCCTTTCCTCCTCCC